AGGGGTCCAAGATTATCTTCTGTGTCTGTGTTAATTGGTTTCCCTTTTCTTTGTTGAAGAGGGTCTGTGCAATCCTTCTGCCTAGTCTGCCATCTTGCCCCGCCTCCCTTTTTTCTTTTTTTGCATTACAATTAAAAATCTGTTACAGATTGGCATGGGCACAGAGATCATGTTTGTAAATCTCTGATAGTGCAGTTTAAAACTTAAAAATCCACTACTCTAATTTTTAATCTAAAAAGTATTTTTATTATTTAAACTTCTTCATTGTGCAAATATCAGGGGAAGTATATAATTGATACATACAAATTTTGATCCTATAAGACAATTTGCCAATGTTGTACCTGTAAATACCGGTTTGCTATAAACTTAGAGCACTAAACTAGAATCAGATCACCTGCTAGGTCATTCATCAGCTAAGTAATCCTAGAAAATCTTTTAGCCCTTCTGAACCTATATTAAGACCATAAAAAGTAGAGAGGCAAACTAGACTATCTTATATAAAATCCTTTCTAGGGGGGGAAAATGAAAACAAATACTCGATAATACTTAAATATGCACCCCAAAAGTGATTTCTCCTCTCAATTCTGACAGTATCATACATATCCATCTGAAGTGACACATCTGAGAAGCATCTTACCTCTGGTGTCATTTTCTATTTCTGTCCTCCAGCGATGTAAACAGCTTTCCAGCACAGAAAGTTCTTCTTCTGTTATGTGCCTTGGTGCAGGATGCATGGGCAAATCTGGAGGTATCCGAGACTGAGTGAATGGTTTGTGTATTACTGATCTTGATGAAATGGCGGCAATGGCCGCAGGTGATGTGCTTGGCAGTTCTGAAGAAGGAGCTCCCTGTTGTTCTGTTGTGCTGTATTTTTTTAAAATAAAATATTTATTACTAAATTTTCTTAAACTCTAGACCAAGGTTGTGTTAATTATATTAGCTCATAATTTCAAAACAAAAGATCTTTAAAAAAAAAATAGGCAGACTGATCTAATATTCTAATAAGATTCTTAATATATAAGGACTACATTATTACACAATTGAAATTATGGCTTTACAGCAGAAATGGCTTAATTTTTTTTTTTTTAAGAACTACATCTCATGTATACTGAAATTGTAACGACTTCCCTTGTTAATACTTATCAGCTTAATTATAGAAACTAATTGTAATTTAACACTATTATATTCATGGATCATAAAAGGTTGAAACTTACATAACTATAGACCAAAAATAATTCAAGTATAATTCTGAACAAAAAAATATGAAAATGTCAATCCACAACCATAAAAACTATTGAATAAGAAAAAAAATCTAGAAGACATGCAAGCTTCTAAAGTGAATCATTCTTTTCAAGAGTTCATTAAAAGAAATCACAATATACATCATAAGACTTTCTTTAAAGACAATCAATTCATTATTATATAAAAAAGGTAACACAACTATCTCTTGCATCAATAAAATTTTTTACCTTGGTAATGTTTGTGATGGTATGGAACCACTAGATGGGGAACTAGCATCAATATCATCAACAGGAGAAGTGCAAACAGGTTTACTTGAGGCAAATTCCAATGCATACTGTAGAACATCTACCAAGGGGAATCGTTTAGGACCCGAACCATAGCTTAAGTATCTGTTAACCATAAAATGTATGAATGCTTCTATTTGTATATACAGCACATTTGTTTTTACAGTAATTATTATAAAACCAGATGAAAATATTTCAACAAATCTGTCTCAACAATTGACTCTGCTATCAAATAAATTAAATGTTCTGCAAGGGAAGAAAACCGATGTTAATTAACACTGAATGTGTATATATTCTGTTATAATTTTTAAATGCTGTTCTAAGTTGTAACTCAATAGGAAGATAAAAGCTGATAGTACTCGTCTTCTGAGACTGTTTTTATTTTTAGATCTGTCATTTGATCTCATGACCAAAATGTTAACTTTTATTAACCTCTGATTACTTTTATCTGATTATCTCTCAATATGATTACTGATACTTTTAAAGATAAAAATTGCTAAAATAAGACAGATTGTTTTGAAAAAGCAGTTTTAGGCTACCAATTTTTAAATTAATACCCAAAGAAGGGAATACAGCTTAGATCAACTGTTGCAAACAGTTATCTCTGACCATGCTTTAAGCCTTTAGACTTATGTCTGACATGTACAAATGGCTTCTCTTGGAAACCATCAAAAGCTCTAGATGATATATGATCTAGTAAGACCATATTCATGCCTGGCACTTCATTGGTGCTATATGGTAGCTACTACCACCTCCTATACAGGGATGTGCTTGCTCTCCAGGCTACCTATATCCCCTGTCCACCATCTTGTAACTGACCTCTTTATCTTATTTATAAAAGCTTTTATAAGGCCCTGACAGGCATTTGAGATGGTATCTTTGGTGTTTAGGAGAAAAGTTCAGTCACCATTTGTTTTAATGGAAATCTCAATAGTAATACTGAGTTTTATTCAAGAAGCTATCTCAATAGTAAACTAGCTTAACTTCAATTCTATTTTCAGTACCATGAACATTATTTGAGAACAATGAGGAAATATTTCATTTTAAACATTAAAATAATCTTCTAACGTCAACTTAACAAAAGTCAAAATGAAACTCTTTCAGTGTAGATTTATTACTACAATTTATTTACTACTTTCAAAGTAGGTTTATTTACTACAACTAGAATTACAAATCACTCAAAACAAATTTGAAATTAAAGGTCTAGAGAGCCACTAAATAGATCATTTCCTACATTTATTTTTTAATTTCATAAAATACCTTTCTAGTCTTTGTTGTAATACCGTGAGGTAATCTTTAAGTCTCTTGATCTCTTCTCTCTTAATTCTTGTTATTTCTCTGTTTCTGTGCATATATCTATCAAGAAAAAGAAAAATAGCACTCATTAGCATTTCTAAATACCATGGAGGTAGATGCAATTTTAAGTCTAGGCATCATTTCATTCAAAAATTTCCAACAAAATGCTAGACAAACAATGCAAAATACTGTATTTATGAATTTTAACAAAATTTAGTTTATTGAAATAAGCTTTTTTAATTTCCTTTTAACATTATTCCCAGTAACTACTTTTCTAATATGAAGAGAACTCTCTATTGCCCTTGACAAATGGTATCAGATATGTCATTGCAAAAAAAGTAGATATTAACTCTAAGAAAATTAAGCAATATTTTCATTTAAACATATTAATTTTCTGTATTTTTACTAAACGGTTTCAAAACTAACTCATACTGTATGCTAAACCATACCTGTCTAGATATAAAACCTGAGGAAATTCTAATTTGTTGTGAATTTTTTCTGGTCTTCCCAGTGCCTGATTAAATTCAAATCTTGACAATTCAAATGTTAACACAGGTGGCAGTTCGGTAAACCAATGCTGAAACAAAACAAAACAAAACAAAAACACCTTAATATCTCTTTCCTGTTTTCTCCACGGCAATTTTGGGCACAGAATTTTGGCACTGACATTTTTATGTGATCACTACAATGCTGACATCACAAGTACTTGCTTGGGTACACAATTTGGTTAAAATTTGACTTCTCTATGTAAGAGTTTCACATTTTTTGAAAATTCCAATAGTGACAACAATCATGAAAGAGAAAAGTCTTCTAACACTGGCTCTTCTGTGATAATTCTTTTAATTAAATTTCTAATGCAAAGAGAAAGACAGTGGTTAATATCATGGCTTCATAGTTTCAGTCTCTGGACCTCTGCAATATTTTGTCAATATTACTCCCAGGAATGGTACTTAATGCAATCAATCACACTGTCAAAAATCTGTGACAAACTAACTAGTAAGATATAGTACTCAAAGGAAAAAAAAAACTGTAGCACAGAATGATCACAACTGTCATGTCAAAAATCAGAAACGTAACTGATATTTTAATTTTATTCTCTTGTTGGATTTAGACTCATTTAAGAAAAGGATCACTAACAAATATCAAATTTATACTTACAGTAAAAACTAAAAACTCACTGCCATTGAGTTGATTTTGACTCACAGTGACCCCTCCTTGGGTTGCTGAGGTGGTATCACTATGGAAGTAGATTGCCCAATCTTTCTTTTCAGTAGTGGCTGCTGGGTTTGAACTGTCAGCCTTCTGGTTAGCAGTCAAATGACAGTTAAGTACAGTTAAAATCTTCTAAAAGACAAGCTTAAATAATTAAATGTCTCATTGCTATGAACGAAATAATGATGATGAATATAATTGTAGATGTATTCCTGTAGCTCCCCACCATGACAACACACACTGGGGCAACTATTTCATTAGGCATAAAATTCAACAAAAGTTTAAAAAAGAATGATTTTAAAATAACACCTTCAAATTTTACCTAAGTATATCATTTGGGAGCTCTGGTAGCGTAGTGCCTAAAGTACTTGACTGCTAACCAGAAGGCTGGAGGTTCAAACCCACCAGCCACTCCTTGAAAGGAAGGTTGGGCAATCTGTTTTTGTAGTGATACAGCCTCGGAAACCTAAGGAGGGGTCGCTATGAGTTGTGGCTCACTGACGGCAAACAGCAACATTATTTAAAGAGAAAACAAAATGAACAAATTGTAAATGAAAAATACGAACATGAAAAAAAATTAAAAAATATTTTCAAAGTATCCTGCAATGTGCTACAGGTACAAAGAAAATAATGCACAGTATACATCTGTGATATTTTCATGTGTCATAAAAGGTACATCAATAAGAAGAGCACATGGATTTAAAGGCAAACATTCAACAAAGCAGGAATGATAGACACCTGGCAAACTGAATTTGACTAGATCTTAGAAGGCTACTTTTCTCTAAATAACAGCAATAAAATTAAATGGTTATTCACAATTATTTCTCATTCATAAAATGTTAATTGAACTGAGATTTCCTGAGTTGGATTCAGACTGTCTTTTATCAAAGTTAAGTATTAAGGAATTTGTTTTATAGGGTTATTAGCTAAAATGAACTAGATAAACTTATTAAAGTTCTAACATCAGAACATCAAGTTTTAAAATTTGAGAAGCAAAGTTCTGCTTACTTATTTTGTTCTCATATGGCATGGCATTAGTAAAAATTTTTTAGATTAATTCCAACCTGTATTTAAAATTAAGAATTAAAATATATTCACCACCCACCTACCATTGTTGAGTTGATTCCAACTCAACAGCCATCCACCAGGGCAAAGCAGAACTGCCTTACAGGGGTTACAAGGCTATAAATCATTACAGACGCAGATTGCCTCATCTTTCTCCCATGGAGCAGCTAGAGGGTTTGAACTGCCAACTTTTCAGTTAGCAGCCAAGTGCTTTAACCAGCAATGCTCCTTAATATATCCACGTCACTAAAAAACTTTTGATGTCTTAAGCTAATACTCTCTACTCCATTTTTTGAGGAAGCTCTGGTGGCATAGCATGAGCTCAGTCATTATGTTCAAGTAAGTACATTTTAAGAACTATTACTTTCATATTTTATTATAATACTTTAACTGTCACTATTAAAATTAAATAGTTACATACTTTAATTCAGGAGAACCTATAATGACCAGAAGAAATAATGTAAGTCTTTCTCTAATATCATGAAAAGCACCAGAAATGCTTTCATTTCTAACTAAATAAGGATACTCATGTTATGTTTGTTATGGTATGTTATGTTTATGATTTCTGCATAATGACCCGGTTTTTGGAAACTATGTCTGTAAGTGAAGCATGGGTATTCTCATGTACACAAGTATAACTAGAAATTTTAAATAATATAAGATTTTTTTTCTTAAAAAAACCTTTCTTTCCATTGAACTACATTTATTTATCTGTAATTTAACTGGTATGCAATGCTACTAGGACAGAGTTCATTAAAAAAATGACTTTGGTTTTTCATATCTCTAAACACATTTTTATTAACTATTTTGGGGGGGGTGTTAAACAATAAACCTAAAAGTGCAATATATATCTGTAGTTAGTAAAAGTACTTAATTTATATAATCAGCAATAATAATACTAGTGCTTGTGAATTCAGCAAGTTACTCTATAAATCTGACCTATTAACAGCAATAGTTTCTAGAGTGAGGGTAATCATTTTCACAGATTTCAATCACTGATTTTTCTGCTAAAGTGTCTAAAATATCTTGCTTCTGTAGTAAGATTACAGGAATATAGAAAAAAAGATCACATCTAAAGTTTCAAATTCACCATAGAAAACTAAACAAAGCCAGGATGTAAACAAAGCACTAGAAGGAGAAACTTCCTATTCCAGTTCAAAAATTAATTCCAGTCATCTAATTGACTTCATTCACACCCAATTTCACTTTGAAAGATAAATTACCAGTATAGTATCTCCATCATTTCCACATTTCTTTAATTTTTTTAAAGGAAAGCTTTAGAAAACATCTTCCAGCAGTACAGTATGTGTAGGAAAATTTGGCCCTGTAGCCCAAAGATCCCTCTTCTAACTATCCTATGTTACTCATTCACGTTCAGAAGTATTTATTCAAAGAAATGTTTTGAAATAAATCTTTGTTTGGCTACTGTCTCACAAGAAAATTAAATCAAGTTAATTTTATAAATACAAGCTACATGATAACCTGCAGGATTTAAAAGAATCATATAAAGCTATATACTGACATGGAAAGATGCTCATAATATACTGTTTAGTAAAAAATGCAAGTTTCAGAACAGCATATATAGATATGCACAAACATGTATATGTGCATAGCAGTAGTCTAAAAAAGTGTGCAAATTTTTATTAGTAGTGAATACCCACATAAGAAGTGAGATATTTACTATCTGAGATTTTTTTTTTCCCTCTAGTAGGGCACTTAAAGGAGCTCTGATAGCAGAGTGCCTAAGACACTTGACTGCTAATCAGAAGACTGGCAGTTCAAACCCACCAGCCACTCCTCGGAAGGAAGGTTGGGCAATCTACTTCCATAGTCATACTGCCTCGGAAACCCAAGGAGGGGTTGTTATACTCAACAGCATGTAACAACAACAATAAGGCACTTAAATGGTATATATAAGTTTCCTGAAAAATCTCATTTATAAATTATATACCATTTAATTAAAATTAAAAATTTGTAATAAAAAAACCAGTTATTCTAAGAAGGAAGGTTGAGCAATCTATTTCCGTAGTGATACTGCTTCAGAAACCCAAGGAGGGGTTGCTATGAGTCGGGTCCGACTCGATGGCAAATAAGAACAACAAGAACATTACCTATAATTATTTTTTATTAATTAAGTTGTCTCTTGGTGTGTGTCATTCCAGAAATTTAAACTCTTGCATCCACTGATGAATGCTTTACCTTGAGCAATTCTGAAGACCAAAGGTCTTTATATTAATTGACTATAGCTATATTTCAGAAAAAGAGAGGTTCTTCTGTGTCAAAGAACAAAATCAACAGATTTTTATAAATAATAGTTCAAGAGATAGTATGCCAATTTAGAAATAGCCTTAAATGTTACTCATTAGCCATCAGAGACTAAAGAATAAAAATAGCTATTTTGAAGAATATAATGAAATGAAATTATAATTTAAATCTGTGATCAAAATCTTTTAAGATATTCTACTGCAGGAAATTATAGCTTCTTTGAACAGGTTGAATTATTGAAACTATGGTCCCCACAATAACTAGAAAATTAGTAAAAGGAGTCACAGATAATCAAATCTGTTAGTATTGAAACTCATTACAAGCTTTTTCTAAGGAAGACGGAATTCTTCTGAATTTAGAGAAGATGAAAAAACATTTCATTTTTTAGGTTTATTGGATATCCTACTTGACTGCTCACCAGAAGGCTGGCGGTTCAAACCCACCAGCCACTCCTCAGAAGGAAGGTTGGGCAATCCTACTTCC